CACACATCGTGGTGGTCTGGTAGGGATTGTAGAGGCACCTGCAGACCCTCCACTGGGGGCCTGGCCATCCAGGGGTCCTGAAACCTGAGGACAGCCCATGCCCATGATTGTGTTCGCTCCCCTGCCACCTGTGAGCTCCTTGAGGGCACTCGGCCTCTCTTCGTGTGCCCCTGTGCTGAGCTCCCTGCCAGGCACTCTGTGTTCTGCAGGATCTAGAAAGGACTTGTCCAGGCCCCATTGTGGGACTCATAGGAAGCCCCAGATCTGTTTCTAGGGTCACTGTTCTCATGGTCACCTCCAATTCTACAACTCTGCTTCCACTGAACCATTCTTGCTGTGTCATCTGTGTACCATGGATATGCACCCAGCCCCTCAGTGAATTGTCGTAAATAAGAAAAATACCACATTTGGGGAGACAATGCCACAAAAACTTAGTGTTTAACAAGAGGCTTCCCAATTCCTAAAATTCCTGGGATTTTTAACCAACCAAGACACCAGTGTATCAAGAAATACAGATACCTGAAGACAGACAGGCCTCAGGAAGACCAAACAAAAACATGCAGCATTAAGTCAATTGTGGAAGGCTCCCTGGAGGAGGTGAAAGCCTCCTTTCTTTCCTCCTCCTTTGTGTTAGATCTCCGGTACAGAAGACTAAGTTCACTATACTCCTCAGATCACAGCCCAGTGGTCTGTGCATGGCCCGTCTCTTGTTTATTTTTTATTCCTGCTCCTACTCTCATTCCCTTCCTCCCCCAGGCAGCCATGATGTGCATCCACATTTTGGCATGTGTTCTTGAAAGTGTGAATTGTTGATCTGCATGCTTGTGTTGTAAATGTATGTAAGCAGTATTGTCCATCTCCTGCTCGATGTCTTGCTCTTGCATTTCTCACTTAGTGCAGTACCAGGGTTTCTCCTTGCTCTGATGGTGGTGATGCATCTAGGCCCTTGTTCCCAACAGTTGCATTATCCCCCACACCATGCGTCTCCCTGTTTTGACCTTTCCCAACCCAGCCACGATCACTGAGGTTGCCTCCCAGTTCCTGCTGCCATGAAGAACACAGGATAGTAATGGATGTCTTCACACATGACACATTGTGGTTGTGTTGAGAAATCTGGGGACACAGATCCAGGAGCAGAATTGCTGTTTCATGGGGCACACGTATACTTCCCATGACAGCTACGGCGGCCCTAGCTACACCCACTGCTGTTGCTCCTGTAGTCCTACAGCTGCACCAAGACTTGGCATTATTACCCTGCTCCTGATTTTTGCCAACCCAACAGGTGAAAAGTGATAGCTCATTGAGATTTCAGTTTGCATTTCTTGGATTACAAATAAGTTTGTTCATCTCTTCACTATCTACTGAGCCTTTAGGGTTGCCCCTTTTGTAAGCCCCCATCCACTGATACATTGAGTTTCTTGTGTTTCCTTCCTTCCTTTTTCTTTCTTTCTTTTCTTTCTTTGTCAAGGTCTCACTCTGTCACCCAGGCTGGAGTGCAGTGGCATGATCACAACTCACTGCAGCTTTGGCCTCTTGGGCTTAGGCAGTCCTCCCATCTCAGCCTTCCAAATAGTTGGGACTACAGGTGTGCACCACCACACCCAGCTAATTTTTTTATTTTTTGTAGAGGCAGGATCTCGCTACGTTGTCCAGGCTGGTCTCAAACTCCTGGGCTCAACTGATCCTCCTGTCTTGGCTTCCCAGAGTGCTGGGATTACAAGCATAAGCCACCATGTCTGGCCAGGTGTTCTTTTTCCTTGAAGATTTGCAAGAGTTCCTTGTGTCTCCTGGAGAGGTCCCTCCTCAGACAATGCACATCTCTTTGTTGCTATAGTTCCCCAAAGGGACCCATGTGGTCACCACCTCTTCAGACCCTCATCCTGAGGGTCAGGGCCTGGTCATGGGTATATGTACAACCAACATAAAAGGAACTCCTTCCTCCACCCCCTTTTGCCAACCTTGCCTGAGCATTGCAATCTGGGAAGACAGGTAACGAGGCAAAAAGCGGTTCCTCTTCTCTGGGGCTGCTAACCTGCTGAGTCAGTTTCATGAGTTAATAAATGATTGGAAAAGGTTTAATTGCATCTGGAGAAATTGAGATCAGCCGGTGCTTAGGCCCCACTCAATTACCTTGTGCTCCTAGGGGGCTGAGCGAGGAGCAGGGGGCAGTCGATGGTTAATTACACACGCTATGCCAGCTGCGGCTTCTGTTCCCTGCCAGTGTTCATCCGAGCATTGAGGCATGGGGACCCTGCTTCAGGGAAGCTGAAGTCACCGAGGACAGGGCCTGCCACAAGGAGCAGAGACCCCTGGCCTTGTGGGGAGGGGAGACCCACTCTCAGCACATTCTGCCAGGGGGGCTTTTAGTACCAGCCCCAGCCTCCATTCTGACCACTCTACTGGCTCCACCCCACCCAGGCTGATGCTAGGTGTCTTTGGTTCTTCTCAGACATCCTCCTCCTCCCAGCTTCTGGCCTGCTTGCCCCGAGCCAGTCTTGTTGTGGGCACCAGGTGATGCCACAGGCTCTGCAAGGTCATTCCCCTCCCCTGCTGCCTCCAGACTGAAGTCTTCCCAAAGGCCTTCTCCATTCTTGCCACGTTTCCCACAAGGGCCAGATGGTAAGGCTCAAACCTGTCACCAATGCAGATTCCCGGGCCCCACACCTACGGATGCTGCTTCAGGAGGTCTGAGTCTCTATGTTTTCTAATACATGGCCCAGCGATTGTCACCATCAAGCTCATTTGAGAAACCTGACTTCAGGAAAGACCTTAGTACCTGCTGAAATAAGTACAGATCTTCTAGAAGGAGAGACAGCACATCTGATGGCAGGGCCCTGGCCTGGGGCCTCTGCAGCTCCATCGACGTCATACTGTGTATGTTCACAAGTCACATGTCCTCTCCGAATTGGATTTCATCATCTAGAAAATAAAGATATTGGAGTCCTTACATTGTCATGTTTTGTTTTCTATAAGGCCTGATATGTTAAACAAGCTTGTTGCACAGTTTGTGCTCAAAAGTCACCTTTATTTTTTTTTCTTTAAATGTCCCTTTCCTTTAAAATGTATTCAGTGGGAGAAATTTTCCCCTGTCTTAGAAAAATATTTGGACCAATCCTCTTGATTTTTTTGTCCATTCTTAGGTGACAGTCTTGGGGTTACTTTAAGTTATCGATGCAGCCTTTTCACAGACTTTAGAATGCGTGATCATCAAAATACTCATAGTCTGGCAGCGTGAGTCTCCTTTTTTTTTCCAGTTCAGATCTGCTCTGGCTGGAAGCGGCTAGGGAGGTGAACCATACCCGTTCCTCTGGCATCTACACTGCCCCTGCTCTTGATCCCACACCGCCACCACTACCTCTGATAGCTGCTGCCAGTATTGAAATTGGGAATTCTTACTGACTAGAAAGCTGGGAGAAGCTCATACTTGGTTCTTGCTTTTGTGAGTGTTTTTGTGGGCTCCGCTGAGGCTCTTTAACCCAAACAAGCACTGCATCTCTATTCCAGGGGTCACTTGTAACCCCTTGCTCAGCCTCTGGGCATCTGGAGGCTGCCTCCAGCCTCTTCGGTTGAGGGCTTCTCACTATCAACATCTTAGATGGTACTTGAGACAACCAGCCCCATGGCCCTCCTCCCTTGGAATTCACAGCCCAGCAACAGTTCTCCCCGTGTGTATTTTCCAAACGGGGTGAAAGTGTTCACAGATCCTGAAACAGATGTTCTTATGGTCCCATTGTACAGTCGGCACACAGCTGGAAGAAGAGGGGCCTGTCCCAGACTGACTTTAGCCTTCTGATTTCTCTCCTTTGGCGTGTCAGACAAAATGTGCATAGGAAGAGCCCCGCTCTAACACCCTGTCACAGAAAGCTACAGCTTACAGTCTAATGAGAGTTTCATCTTTGAGAAAAGAAAGCCAGAGTGCCCAGAATATCCCAGGCAGGAGCTGGGAGACGGCCTGATAGCCCAGGTCTAGAAGGGAGGTGAGTTTGGGGCTCCTCCGTCACGCAGTCACTCTGCCTTCTTCTCTGCTCCTCAGACCTGCTGGACTCAGGCGAGTACCAGCCCTTGAGGCACGCTAATATCTGTCCTTTGACTTCCAGCTTCTGGCTGAGGCCAAGAACCTGGAGGTGTCAGCTCTGTCCTCTCGGAGGGTGGCTCTGTGGATGTGGTTAAGGTCTGGGTTCTCTTCCCAATACACAAACCCCAGGGAGGCCGCCCCCCTCAGGACCACCGAGCAGAGTCTGAGTGTCACCACCCGGGTCCTTCTTCTCCCTCCCTTCCCAGTGCAGGGCCCAAACTCTCTTCGAAGTAATGTTGAGCGGATATTTAAAGCACTTAAAGAGACTCCCCCTCCAATACTTAGCTACACTGAATTCCTAGACGTCGGGGGGGGGGTCCTACCTCCCCTCCTTCATCAGCACATCAGCCTGAACTTGCTCCTCAACTGACTGGTGGATGTGCTTGGCCTGACAAAAGTTAGGATATTGGAATAGGGGAAAGGAGTGTGCGGTGCCAGGCTCTGGGAAAAATGGACAGGCTCAGGGAAAAGTGGGGAGTGGGGAAGGGATCAGGAAAGAGGCATGCGGGGCCCTAGAGCGAGGGATCAGTCATGCAGGCAACAAGGACGCTTCCACCGGGGAGCAGATCTAAATCCTCCAGTGGAGCATGAGAAAGACAGCTGAGCTTCCCTCCCCCACGCACCAAGCCTCACTTCCCAGATGCTCCTGTCCGGCGTCCTGCTGCTACATTGGGCGGAGGGTTCTCGACAGCAGCACGGAGGGAAGGAGACAAGGACGGGAGAAGATGTGACCCTAGAGGCCTGTCCGCATGTTCTCAGACTGGGGACCTCAGAGACCAAGGCAGCTGCAGACGTCAAGAAGCAAGCCCCTCTGGAGACAACCACTCCAGAGCCATGGGGTCATAGCCAGGTGCCAGCCTGAGCCTGATCGTCCTTTCAGCCTCCCCACCCAGCTCTCACGGACCTCCCTCTCTCTTCTCTGGCAGGGACCGATGCCCTTGGCCATGATGCAGCCCCAACTGCTGTCTGCTCAGGTGCAGCCTGCGTGACTGAGCCACTGCTGCTCCAGCTATTTCACGTAAGTGTAAGACACCGGCCAACCCCTTTCTCCCCAGGAGAGGGCATCTAGGGGTAGGTGGGGGGAAGATGGGTGGAGAGGAAGCGGGGGAGGAGCTTTGGAAAGTCCTGGCCACAGAGGGCAGCCCCTTGGAATTCTTTACTAGACAACAGGTTTGTCCTCTTCGGCTGCTTCAGCCCCTGAGCTGGTCACCACTGAATTATTCTGTCCCATATCTGCTAGGACTTGGGTGGAAACATAAGGACTTCTTTCTCCTGTCCTCAAGCAGCTACTCAAGAGACATCTGGTATGATGGAAACTCCACAGCACTGGCCCAGTGCTGACTCAAATGCCTGCTATCGTATGGCTTCAGAAAAATCACTAATGGTCTGGCTTCCCCTCCTACATTGTGGGGGTTTTTGTAAGGTTTGGAGAGTTGTGTTAATTATATTTTGCTGTGTGACAAACTTCAGACTTAGCAGCTTAAAACAGCACACACTAATTATCTCAGAGTTTCTGTGGGTCAGAGCTAGCTGGGTTGACTGCTTCAGGGTCTCAGCCAGAGTTGCAATTTCATCTGAAAACTCAACTGGAGAGGAATCTGCTTCTACTCTCACTTATGTGATTTTTCTATTCCTTTTGGGCTGCTGCATTGAAGGTCTCCGTCCCCAGCTGTCAATTGGCCAGAGATCACCCTCAGTTCCTTAACATGTGGCCTCTTCAACATGGAACTTGGTGTACCAAAACCAACAAGGAAGAGGGTTGGCTAGCAAGATAGAAGTCAGGATATTATGTAATCTGTTCACAGAGTGACATACCACTACCTATGCTGTCTTGTGTTCATTAGAAGCAAGTCACAGGTCACACCACACCCAGAGAAGAGGAGAACTTAAGGGCCTGACTGCCTGGAGGCAGGTATCATTTGGGGCCATCTCAGAGCCTGCCCACCATAAGAAGGAATATAAATGGAGCATTTTGTAAACTGTAGGATGCTGTTCAGGGGTAGGAAATTACTACCAGCATTTGCATCTACTTGCAAAGAGAAAATGAGCCCACCTGAAATAATAGAGAACCAATGAATGGAGGAATTTATTTATTTTTACTGATATATAATAGCTATATATGGTTTGGGGGTATATGTGAACATTTCATACTTTATATAATTAGTAAAGTTCAAATCCATGTACTTGGAATATCCACCACCTTAAATATTTGTCTCTTCTTTATGCTAGTGCTATTCTGTGAATGTGGGGATTTAAATGCCAAATTGTACCACTTATACTAGGCCCTCGGGGAAACTGGTCGAGAGCTAATTAGTTTATTTCATGCCCTTTTACACGTGCCTTCCTGGCTTATGATTTTAAGGCCAGACTTAAGCAGCCACAAAATATCAGGGCCTTCCTTTTCCCCACAAATAACCATGTCTGTAGGGTCTTTAGAGTTTACAAAGTGCTCTCACCTACAGTCATTCTTGATAACTGCAAGGAAAACAGTTGATATTTGATCATGATTCCTTCCAATCATGGAACACTTATACACTGTTGGTGGGAATGTAAATTAGCACAACCTCTGTGGAAATCAGTGTGGAGATTTCTCAAAGAACTAAAAGTAGATCTACCGTTTGGTCTGACATGTTTATAAGAACTGAGTTTCCTGTGAATCTTTGTTTTACAAATGAGAAGGAAGGTCCATTTACAATTTAGGGTGGCTGCTCAGTGGCACGGGTGCCTCTGTCTGTGCCCTGGCTCTGCCTTCTCTGGCACATGCCCCCATTTCAGGCCACTGCTGCTATTCAGCCTCTGGGGTTCAAGAGGGGGGCAGCCATCATGGAGGACAGAGAGGAGGGAGGGCACTGTTCTCATATGGCTTCTCCATAATTCCCTGTCTCCTAAAACAGGCTGGGCACATCCTGGGGGGCCAGTCTGAGACTTTCAGTAGGGCAGATCACTGCTGTCTCCTGCACTAGGTCACTCCGTAGAGCTCTTGTCTCATAAACAGACCTCAACTGGGTGCATGCAGGGAAGTGGGAGAGGATGAAGTGATGTCGTAATGGCAGTGTATGAATCCTCCTGAGGCTGAGATTCATCTATGCCCTTCCCTAGATGCCCCAGGGAACCCCTGAAGCAAGGCCCACCATGCACCTGGTTGAATGAGTCCTGAACAGTGATGCTCTGCAGATGGGTTGGAGCTGAGAGATGTGACTTGCTGCCCCCTCATGGTCAATCAGAGTCTTAACTGCCAGGACTGTGACATGCTAACTAACCAGTGGATGATTACCTAATTTTTCTTTTCTTTTTCCTGATTTCAATAGTTTTAGAGAGTACGAATAGTTTTTGGTTAAATGGCTGCATTGTATAGTAGCGAATAAGTATGGGCTTTAAGTGTACCCTCCACTCCCATCTGTGCACAGTGTACTCAATAGGTGATTTTACTCCCCTCCGCCCCTTCCCCTCTTCTGAGTCTCCAGTGTCCATTATACTATCCTCTATGCCTCTGCAGATCCTTAGTGTAGCTGCCACTTATAAGTGAGAATATGCAGTGTTTGTTTTTCTGCTTCTGTGTTAGTTCACTTAGGATGATGTTCTGCAATTCCATCCAAGTTATTGCAAAAGACATTATTTCATTCTTTCTGACAACTGAATAGTATTCCATAGTGTATATATACCATATTTCATTATCCATTGATCAGCTGATCAGCATTTAGGTTGATTTTATATCTTTGCAGCTTTGAATTGTGCTGCAATGAACATGCAAAGTGCAGGTGTCTTTATATAACAACCTCTGTTCCTTTGGGTAGATACCTAGTAGGGCAAATACTGGATCAAATGGTAGATCTACTTTTAGTTCTTTGAGAAATCTCCATATTGATTTCCATAGAGGTTGTCCTAATTTATACTCCAACCAGCAGTGGATAAGCATTCCCTTTGCACCGCATAAGTGCCAGCACCTATTTTTTTTTTATTTTTAAATAATGACCATTCTCACTGGTGTAAGGTGGTATCTCACTGTGGTTTTAATTTGCATTTCCCTGATTATGAGTAATGTTAAGCATTTTTCATATGTGTATTGGTCATTTGTATGTCTTCTTTGGATGGGTGTCTGTTCGTGTCATTTGCCCACTTTTTAATGTGGTCGTTTGCTTTTTTCTTACTGATTTGTTTGAGTTCTTTGTAGATTCTGGATATTAGTCTGTTGTCAGATGTATAGTTTGTGAATATCTCCTCGCATTCTGTAGATTTCCTATTTGCTCTGTTGCTTATTTATTTTGCCATGTGGAAGCATTTTAATTTAATGAAATCCCACTTATTTATTTTTGATTTTGTTGCATTTGCTTTTTTGGGCTCTAGCTATAAATTATTTTTCTAGGCCAGTGTTCAGAAGAGTTTTTCCTAGATTTTCTTTTAGGATTTGTATGGTTTCAGGTGTGACATTTCATCCATCTTGAGTTAATTTTTGTCTATAAGGAATCAAGTTTCATTTTTCTGCACGTGGTTGTCCATTTTCCAAACACCATTTGTTGACTAGGGTGTGCTTTCACTAGTGTATTTTTTTTTTTTTTTTGAGTTGGAGTCTCACTCTGTCACCCAGACTGGAGTGCAGTGACCGCTCCCGGCCACCGCAGCCTCGACCTGCTGGGCTCCAGTGATCCTTCCACCTCAGCCTTCCAAGTAGCCAAAATTACAGGCATGCGCTACCACGCCCGGCTGATTTTGTGATTTATTGTAGAGATGAGGTCTCACTGCCCAGGCGGGTCTCGAACCGGCGGGCTCAGGCAATCCACTCACCTCAGCCTCCCAAAGGCGCGGGATTACAGGCTGAGCCACCGAGCCCGGCTTCCTAGTGTATGTTTTTATCTCCTTTGTCAAAGATCAGTTGTTTGTAGATGTTTAGGTTTATTTATGGATTCTCCATTCTGTTGGTCATGTGTCTGCTCTTATACCATTTCCATGCTGTTTTGGTTGCTACATCCTGATAGTATTATCTGAAGTCAGGTAATGTGCTGCCCCCAGCTTTTTTGCTTTTTTGCTTAGGATTGCTTATCTGTTCTGGGTCTCTTTTGGTCCCATAAGAATTTTAGGATTGTTTTTGCTAATTCTGTGAAAAATGATGTTGGTAGCATGATAAAGATTGCATTGAATTTGTAGATTACCTTTGGCAATATGGTCATTTTGACAATGCTGATTCTTCCAATCCATGAGCATGAAATGTTTCTTCATTTGTTTGTGTCCTCTACAGTTTCTTTCATTAGTGTTTTGTAGTTGTCCTGGTAGTGATCTTTCACCTCCTTAATTAAATATATTCCTAAGTATTTTAGCTTATTGGCTGCTATTGAAAATGGAACTGAGTTTTTTTGTTTTGTTTTTTAAATCAGAATCTCACTCTGTTGTCCAGGCTGGAGTACAGTGTCACGCTCACAGCCACCACAGTCTCGACCTGTTGGGCTCAGGTGATCCTTCCACCTCAGCCTTCCAAGTAGCTAGAACTACAGGTGCTCATCACCATGCCTGGCAAATTTTTTTTTTTTTTTTTTTTTTGAGTTGGAGTCTCACTCTGTCGCCCAGACTGGAGTGCAGTGGCCGCTCCCAGCCACCACAGCCTCGACCTGCTGGGCTCCGGTGATCCTTCTGCCTCAGCCTTCCAAGTAGCTGGATCTACAGGTGTGCGCTACCACGCCCGGCTGATTTTTTGATTTATTGTAGAGATGAGGTCTTGCTGCCCAGGCGGGTCTCGAACCCGCAGGCTCAGGCAATCCACTCACCTCAGCCTCCCAAAGGCATGGGATTACGGGCTGAGCCACCGAGCCCGGCTGCAAATTTTTTTTTTTAATTGTAGAGACAAGGTCTTGCCAAGTTGCCTCGGCTGGTTTCAAACCCCTGGGCTCAAGCAATCCTCTTATCTCCACCTCCCAAAGTGCTAGGATTATAGGCATGAACCACCATGTCTGGCCTTGAGTTCTTGATTTGATTCTCAACTTGATCGCTTTTGGTGTACAGCAGTGCTACTGATTTGTGTGTGTTGGTCATGTGTCCTGAAGCTTTACCAAATTCATCTATCAAATACAGGAGTCTTTTGGAGGAGTCCTTAGAATTTTCTAGATATAAGATCAAATCATCAGCATACACAGATAGTTCTATTTCTTCTTTTCCAATCTGGATATGCTTTATTTCTTTCTCTTTTCTGATTGCCCCAGTAGGACTTCCAGTACTATGTTAAATACGAGTGGTTAAAGTGGACATCCTTGCCTTGCTCCAGTTCCAAGAGAGAATACATTCAACTTTTCTCTGTTCAGGATTACATTGGCTGTGGGTTTGTCATATATGGCTTTTATTAGTTTGAAGAATGTTCCCTCTATTCCTATTTTGCTGAGAGTTTTTTTTTTTTTTAATCATGAAGGGATGCTGGATTTTATCAAATGCTTTTTCTGCATCTATTTAAATGATTCTATGATTTTTCTTTTTAATTATGTTTATGTGGAGGATCACATTTGTTGACTTGCATTTGCTGGACCATCCTTGCATCCCTAGGATAAAACTCACTTGATTGTGTTGGATTTTTTTTAATGTGCTGTTGAATTTGGTCAGCTAATACTTTGTTGAAGATTTTCATTCTATGTTCATCAGGGATATTGGTCTATAGTTTTTATTGTTGTTGTTGTTGTTGTTGTGTCTTTTCCTGGCTTTGATATCAGTGTGATACTGTGTTTGTAGAATGAGTTAGGGATAATTCCCTCCTCTTCAATCTAATGGAATAGCTTCAGTAAAATTAATACAAGTTCTTCTTTGAAAGTCTAGTAGAATTTAGCTGTTAATCCATCAGGTCCTGGACTTTTTTTCATTGGGAGCCTTCTAATTACAGTTTCAATCTCACTACTCATTACTGGTCTGTTCAGCATTTCTATTTCTTCATAATTCAAGATTGGGAGGTTGTATGTTTCCAATAATTTATCCATTTCCTCTAGATTGTTTAGAGTTTTTTGCATAGAGTTGTTTATAATAAATCTTGGGTAAACTTTTGTATTTCATATCTATTGTAAGGTCTCCATGTTCATTTCTGATTGAGCTAATTTGATCTTCTCTCTTCGTTTCTTAATTAATCTAGCTAATGATCTATCAATTTTGTTTATCTTTTCAAAAAACCAACTTTTGTTTAATTGATTCTTTGTATGGTTCTTTTTTGTTGTTGTTATTTCAGTTAGTTCTGCTTAGTTCTGCTCTGATCTTCATTATTTCTTTTCTTTTGCTAGCTTTTGGTTTGTTTGTTCATGTTTTTATAGTTTCTTGTGGCATGATGTTACGTTGTCTACATGCAGTCTTTCAGTCTTATTAATATAGGTCTTAAGCACTATACATTTTCCTCTGAGCACAGCTTTGACTGTGTCCCAGAGGTTTTGATAACTTATTTCATTATTGTCATTCATTTCAAGGATTTTTTTAAAGTTCCAGCCTGATTTCACTGATGATCCAAGGATCATTCAGGAACATATTGTTTAACTTCCATGTTTTGTTTGGTTTCACAGTTCTTCTTGGAGCTAATTTCTAATTTTATTTCACTGTGGTCTGAGAAAGTGCTTGATATGATTTTGATTTTTTTGAACATATTGAGACTTGATTAGTGGTCTATCATATGGTCTATTTTGGAGAATGTTCCATATGTTGATGAGAAAAATGTATGTTCGGTAGTTTTAGGGAGGAATGTTCTGTAGATATCTGTTAGTTCCATTTGCTCTAGGGTCCAGGTTAACTGCAATGTTTCTTTGTTGACTTTCTGCCTTGATAATCTGTCTATTGCTGTCAGTGGGATGTTAAAGTCTCCCACTATTATTGTATTGTTCTCTTTTTGGTTTTTTTAGGTCTAGTAGAGTTTGTTTTATGAAACCAAAGCCTCTGGTGTTAGGTGCATATATATTTAAAATTCTTGTTGAATTGGTCCCTTTATCATTATATAATAATCCTCTTTGTCTTTTTTTCACTGTTGTTAATTTTTTATGACATTCAAATGAACAAAATTTTAATTATTTGGGGCGGATACAGTATCTTTTTAATTTAAAATAAGACAAGTCCTTTCATAACTTTTGTGGTTTTCTTTTAAGCCATATGTCCCTTACCTATTTATTTATTTATTTATTATTTTTTATTTTGAGTTGGAGTCTCAACTCAACCTGCTGGGCTGTGGTGATCCTTCCACCTCAACCTTCCAAGTAGCTGTAACTACAGGCACGCTACCATGCCCAGCTAATTTTTTTTTAATTTATTGTAGAGATGAGGTCTTGCCAAGTTGCCCAGGCGGGTCTCGAACCCATGGGCTCAGGCAATCCTCTCACCTCAGCCTCCCAAAGTGCTGGGATTACAGGCTGAGCCACCGAGCCCAGCTAGGATCGTGTATTTTTTATCCATTCTGCCTGTCTATAGCTTTTTAGTAGGGCATTAAGGCCATTTACATTCAGGGTTAATAATAACATGTGAAGTACTATATGATTCATCATGCTGGTTGTTATGAGGTTCCTTTATTTATTTATTTGTTTGTTTGTTTGTTTTTTCTATTATGTTGGTATCCCATAAGGCCTATGAGACTATGATTTCTAGCAGTTTTCTTCTGGTGTATTTCAACCTTTTGTTTCAGTATTTAGAACTCTTTTGAGTATTTCTTGTAAAGCTGGTCTAGTAGTGACAAATTTCCTCAGCATTTGCCTATATGAGAAAGACTTTATTTCTCCTTCATTTGTGAAGCTTAGTCTATGGGACACAAGATCTTTGGATGACTGTAATTCTGTTTGAGGAGATTATAGAGAGATTGAAGGGTCCCAATCTCTTTTTATCTCTTCTGATAAGTTTACTTTGTAAGTTATTTGATACTTTTGTTTTACTGCTTTTAAAATTATTTCCTTCACATCAGCTTTACATAAGTGGGTGATTGTATGCCTTGGAAATGATCTTTTTTGCAATAAATCTTCTGGGAGTTCTCTGGGCTTCTTATATCTGGATGTTTAAAACTGTCAAGGCCAGGGAAGTTTTCCTCTATTATTCCCTCAAATAGGTTTTCCAAACCTATTGCTTTCTCTTATTCCTCAGAAACACCTATGATTCTTTCTTTTTATTTTTTGAGTTGGAGTCTCACTCTGCTGGAGTACAGTGGCATACTCACGACTACTGCAGCCTCGACCTGCTGGGCTCAGGTGATCCTTCCACCTCAGCCTTCCAAGTAGCTAGAACTACAGGCACACACCACCACACCCAGCTAATTTTTAAATTTATTGTAGAGATGACGTCTTGCCAAGTTGCCTAGGCTAGTCTCGAGCTCATGGGCTCAGGCATTCCTCTCACCTCAGCCCCCCAAAGTACTGGAATTACAGACTTGAGCTGCCACAACCAACCTTATTTATCTTAATGAAGTCCCTTCTCTATGGCCTGCAGTCCTGGCCTGTGCTGCTGCATTTGCATGTTTCACTCTAGGCATAGGTATGCCCAGTATGTTTTCATCACCAGGCTATAAGCTTCTTAGAAGAGGGACTGCCTGATGGTTTGAGGACCGTGTAGGTAGAACAACAGGAGATGAGGAGCGAGAGATGAATGTGTGGTGAGCATGCAGGTAAGTGGGGGAGGGCAACGTCTTTGAAGTTGCATCTGGAAGGTTGTGCCCATATAAACAAATGCAGCAGGTAGCATGTTTTGCTGGAGCCACAGAGAGGCACAGGGGTATGATGAAAGACCTAAATGCTGTTGTTGGGAAGGGTGCTCAGAGACAGAACCAGAGAAGCCGTTGTACCAGTGCAGCTTGAGATGAGCAGATACTTCACTGGTGTGGGGGGCAAAATACTGGGCTAGCCAAAGAAGAGTTTGAAGGTTTTTAAATCTGGGCAATGAAGAGAACATCCTATGGCCTGGTCAAACTCTGATGTGTAAACTAATTACCTGAGACCTGGTTAAAATGCAGGCTCTGATGCATGAGGCCCACAATGGGCCTGACATGCTACTTTTCTGACATGCTACATTTCTAACACGCTCCCAGGTGATATCCACGCTGCTGGCCCACAGACCATCTTGTGAGCAGGAAGCCATACAGCACCCTTGGGTGGACTGGGAACAGCGCTGCTAAGGGGTATAGCCCTCTAGGAACACAGTGGTGGATGGATGGTATCTTTGGGTGAGGAAAGAGGTCCCATTTCACCCAGGAAACATGTCAGGTTCTGCGGCTTTGTGAGCGTGGTTGGGCTCTAGGCCCCTCTTATCCCTTGAGCAGTGAATGCCCTGCAAAACCGTTGGGGCAGCTGTGGCAGAGTCATTGAAAGAGACAGAATAGTCAGAGGTGGGGAACCTATGTGGAGATCAGGGTGATGACGTGAGTCTGTCCTAATTGAGTTTGAGCCTGTCCTCATTGACTGGGACATCCAAGTGAAATGTCTAGTGCCAGTTGGAAACACAGCTGGAGACCTGATTTGGGGATGACATGTCACACACGAAGAAGGTAGGTTGGAGAGCGGGGGCATATCTAACCCTTGGGGGCTTTTTTGGCAGGTAGCACTCTACCTCCAAGATCTCTTTTGCCGTCTTGCAGGTCACCGTTCCCTTTACTGAACGTAAGTACTCTTGGTCATTCTTCCATCTTCAAGATGCCAAGTCCCCTCCTCCTGTTCCCTTGGTCCTGATGAAGCTGGGAGGCTCAGAAGTCCTCATTCACTAGCTAAAAGGAGAGGCTGCCTAAGGCCAGAACAGCTGCACGCTCAGAGCTTGCCTTTGTCCCGTTCACTCAGCCCTTAGCCAGGACCAGTCTCCTGGGTCAACCATAGCCTTCCAGGGGCCAGAGTGCTGCCCACCCACTCCCTCTGGGCTCACCTTACCCTTGTTTTCCAGGAGAATTTGAAGAACGGGAGAGACCCTCAAAAGGAGTGTGGATTGGAGCCAGGGCAGAACCAGGTAGAACTTTTGGGATTTGGGCCAGTCCCCCCCAGCCAGGGCCAAGCACTCAGGGACCGTTGGTGTGTGTTCCTGGGAGGGCAGAGATAAAGAGTACAGCCTTTGGAATGAGCCAGGAATCCCAGCCAAATGAATCGTAGCCCCCATTGGTCATGTGCACAGTAGGAATCTTTAATAACCATCCCAAAGGTTGAGGATTCAGTGAGGGGCAGAGGGCAGCGCTTTGCATGCAGAATGCCTCATCACCGAGGAATCCCTCAGTCAGCAGGAGCTGCCGAGCTGTGTCTTATTTGAAGCCATGTGGGGAGGTCAGGAAGGGGATGAGGAGAGAGGGAAGGGGAGAAGAACTCCAAAAGCAGGAAATGTTTGAAACTGAACAGAAGCAGGGGGCAGAATGAGCCCTCTGTAGCCCTCAGCCCCACCCCCACCCCAACTTAGGCTGCCCCAGGTGGGGAGAGCCAGGGCCAGTCTTCAGGAAGCCCCTGGGGCCCGGGCCCTCCCTGCCCCCAGCGAGTTCTGGGAGGCCTCCTCCCCAGCCCAGGGTGACAGCGGCCACTGCTCCTCACCCTTCTGCACCCAATTTTGCAGAGTTTGATGGGGCGCCGGGCGGATGACAGCGGGAACGGTTGTGATCACTGGCGGAATCCTAGCGACGGTGATCCTCCTCTGCATCATTGCAGTCCTGTGCTACTGTAGGCTCCAGGTCAGTCCCCGGGGCCTGTAGCCGAAGGCAGCTGGTCCCCCTGCAAGCACCTCTTCAGTATCGGGGCAGAGGCTAGAGGCCCACGTTGGACGGAGAGAGTCCAGAGCCAGGGAAGGTGGGAGGTGTAAATCAAGAAGGCTGGGAGTTGGAGCTGGTCAGAAGGGAGCTATGCACCCCCACAGCCTATCCCCCTGGGCCCGCAGAGAGAAGATGCTGGGCAGGTGCAGCAGGTGCGGGGACATTGGGTTCTGTCTCCCGTGCCCCTGAGGTATCAGGAGTGGCAGGAAGGTTGAAGGCTGCTGCCATCAGCCCCCAGTCCTGTCCTCAGCATGATTGTGTGTCCCTCCCTGTCTGCCTCGACCACAGCCTGGAGTTAACACATTGAGGAGTAGCAAGAAGGAGAAGGGAGAGAAGCATTGTGCTAGCCAAACTTGCGGACCATGGGCCTCTGGTGGTATTCCATCCTAGCACCAACAGAGCACGCCAGGCGCTCGTGGGCAGGGGCGTGGGCACCTGTGCACGCTCAGAAGTGCACTAGGGCCGGGGAGCATCCACCCCCTCTCAGGGCCCCCTCCTCTTCCCTCAGTATTACTGCTGCAAGAAGAGTGAAACCGAGGATGCAGACGAAGAGGAGGAGCAGGAGCACGACCTCCCCGCACTTCCCAGGGGCTCCAGCTGCAATGCCTGCAGCTCCCAAGCCCTGGACGGCAGAGGCAGCCTGGCGCCCCTCACTGGCGAGCCCTGCGGCCGGCCCTGCGGGGTGGCAGGGAGCCACTGCACCGCCTGTTCCCCACACGGCTCCCCCTTTTACATTCGGACGGCTGACATGGTGCCCAATGGGGGTGGAGGCGAGAGGCTCTCCTTTGCTCCCACATACTGCAATGAGGGGGGACCCTCATCCCTCAAATTGGCAGCGCCCCAGGGTTACCCGGTGACCTGGCCGGGATCCGGGCGCGAGGCCTTCACAAATCCAAGGGCTATTAGTACAGATGTGTAAACCCTTCCACCCCCTAACCCACACACACACGCTGATGCTGCCGCCCCCGCAGGGGCGATGGGGGCAGTGGACGACCCCCCAGCAGCCCCCCAAGGGCCAGTTCTTTGGCTTTTCTTGCTCCACGGTGGAGGGTTTGCCAGGATTCAAACTGAGGGCATTGAGGACCAGGATTGGGCTTGGCTTGAAACCCGTGGCCCAGAGGCGGGGGTCTGACGGTGGAGCCTGCTGCATTGCCCGTTTCTCTGTTGGGATGGCCCTCTGGCAGCCCCAGCACCACCGCCATTCCTTGCAGCGTCCCCCGAACCCCTGACTTTGCTGGACTGTGGAAAGTAGCTCCAGGGAGAGCTAAGCAAAGGCCTGGAGGCTCCTGAGTCCTGGGGAGATGAAATGTTCACACCTAGAAGAAAGCGGGGGACAGAGGGCAAGGGGAGATGTGAGAACTCTCAAACATTCCAGAATTTGAGACGAGGGGGGATGGCATGGTTGTTAAGACGGGTCCTAGAGTGCATTCCCTTTGGTTACCATAGACACTGCTGTGGCTGCAGCTGCTCCCAGGGTGACGTCGATGCCTGAACATACCACCTCTCTATCTGCCCCTTGCTTGTGAAACACATCGAGTTGACTCTAAAAGCTGTGGTTTTTCTGGGGATGCTGAAAGGTAACTGTCTAACCTTGTCTTTCCCAGAATCCTCTCTGCCTTAGGAACCAGCTGCCCCCTGCTGGAGCTGCTTTTTCAAGTTTTTTGACCAGAATTCTAGTAGCTTAGCAAAAGAGATCTCACTGATTGTTCCTTGGGCTCCGGCCTGATGCCATCCTGTAAGGATGCGTGCATTCCCATTGCCAGGTACACACACACACACACACACACACACACACACACACACACGCCAGTCGCCACCAGTAGACATGGGAGCTATGCCAACTTCAGAGCTGCAGAGTGGAAGGGTCTCAGAGGTACCATCTAGAAAGAAAAGCCTGAGTCCAGACAGCATGAACAAAAGGCCATGAAGGTGGTCAGTCCTCATGGCAGCCAGCTGGCTGGTGAACAGGAAGGGCGTGGCATCTCTGTGGGGCCACATGAGCTCCTCCAGAGGCTGGCATTCTCCTTGGGCATCCACATAGCACGCCACAGAGCCAGACTGCTTATACCCCCAGGAGCAATGGCTCAATCCTGAGGCTCAGAGAGACGTCTCAGCTGCTGGATTCCATGCTTGCTGCCCTCTCTCGGCTGCCCTGCTGCCCATTCTCCTGGGTCATTTTATCATCTGGCTCACTCTAGCCCCATGTCCCTCTCCCCCTCCCCCTAGACCTTGGCAGTGGTCTTAAGCTTTTCGGGCCAGTTTGCCTGATGAGTTGTCTAGTTGCCTCTGCAGAAGCTGGATCCTTCTGGACTGTGGAAAGTAGCTCCAGGGAGAGCTAAGCACACACACACACCCCCACACCCACACCTTCCCCCTGCCACCCACTCCTGATTCACTAAATGCTGCAGGGGTGGGGCAGGGAAAGGGCTGGCCCTTCTGCTGAAATCTTGACTTTGCATTTGACAAAGGACAAGGGCAGCTGGGGTATGGTGGGAAGGACACATACCTTTTGTACCACTCTGTCCAGGCACTTGTCACCTTACATCTCAATCTGGAATTAGAGCATCCTGGGTTGAGAAGCAGAAGACCCAGACTCTGGTCACATTTTGGTCACTTTTTAGCTCTAGGACCAGTCACTCACCTCTGAGACTCCATTTTCTCCAGGGAAATGAGGCTTGCCCAGATAAACTCCAAAAGGGCCCTTTCGTACTCCGTGAAGTGAGGACTTCCCGAAAACATGGGCCGGGCCACTCCCTGTTGCTCTAATTCTTGGCAGGGGCTGAGTGATCCTGTGTACAGGGACGCTTGTTGATGGATGCAAAAACACAATAAAACACGAAAACAACTTTAATTGTACGTGAAAGGCAAACCTATTTTTCTGACCCTCCTGTGAGTGGTCACAATGGTAACACTTCTCTTGCTCCAGCAAGCAGTGCTAGGTGGGGTCACAAGGTCTGTCTCCCAGTGCAGAGCGGGCAGCTTAGGACGCAGTTTTAACATACCCACCGCACCACAGTCCACACTGGGCCAAGCGCAACCTCCTGACGAACTGCTGGGCCTGGCAGTGCTCCCTACGTCCTGATGACCCGCCCCAGTGCCTTGCTCCCCTGGAGTTCCACAGCCTTCATGCCCCTCCTCACCAAAAGTAGCGATGTCGTCATACCTAATGCCTTTGTAAAATTCAAGACAACCCAGTTAACTATCACCCTTCTGGCCCCTGATCTCTGGGGGTCCCTGAGTGCAAAGTATCCTGTGCAATCCCATCTCCTCCTATAGCTTCCCCAGCCGAAATCCTGTCAACCCACACATCAAAGTGAGGGTTCGGGGCAGTGGAGAGAGGGTGGGCCCCAGTCTTCCCCACGTAGCCCAGCCTGCTCAGGGCGCGAGCTGGGCAATCACCCAGCACCTACTGTAGCGAGGAGGGCCCTGTCAACTGCACTTTCCTTTCTATCTGTGGGGTCTGTACTCTGGGACTCTATTTGTACTCTTTCCAAACGGCATCCTGAATGGGAAGAGCAGGAGGGGCCGGGAGCACTCAGGCCTCTCCCATCTTTCTCCACCTTCACTTCCCCCTCCCACAGCAGATTTCTCATCATGCATCTTTGATAACTTGGAGTCGCAACCAAGTGAATGTCCAAATAAATGAGGACTTTGAAATAGAAATCCCACAGGGTCTTTCATTCTTCACCTGGTTTGGGGGAGGGGGCAGTTGGGTATGGATTTCATAGCAAATACTCCTTTTGACACCCAGAACGTCTCTTTCAACACTCCCCTCCTGCTTACACATTAACCTCACCTTGTTGCCGGGTGTCCCCTCCTTCGACTTGCCGAGTATTACCCCCCCACCCCCCGGCGCTGCGATACTGGGTATCCCTCCTCCACCTTGTCGTCCAGTTCCCCCCGCCCCGTGTTTTCGCATGTCCCCCATTATTAACTCAGCCTGAGTTCACATCCCGGGAGATTTGTTGTTTGTTGGGAAAGGGGAGTTGTTTGTTTTTTGGAGTGGAAGTCTCACTCCGTTGCCCAGGCTGGAGTGCAGTGGCACGCTCACGGCCACCCCAGCGTCGACCTGCTGGGCTCCGGCGATCCTCAGCCTTCCAAGTAGCCTGAACTACAGGTGCTCGCTACCACACCCAGCTAATTTTTTCATTTCTTGTAGAAACGAGGGCTTGTCAAGTTGCCCAGGCGGGTCTCGAACCCCTGGGCTCAGGCAATCCTCTTCCCTCAGCTCCCCCAAAGTGCTGGGATTACAGGCTTGAGCCACTGTGCCCGGCCTGGGAAAGGTGATTTAAAGTGTAGTTGCTGCTGGACCCTGAGGCTGAAGGAGCCCTGCCGAGGACAGCCAGCCTTACCAGGCAACAGCCCAGGCTTTGAGCCCTGCTCCCTGTGGCCTCCCCACATGGTTTAGATCAACTCTCTGAAGCCTGCAGAAATACAGAGTGTCACCCAGCCAATTCTGAGTTATGTGGCATGGGAGAGAAGACAAAGGCATCAGGACCAGAGCCTCAACCCAGACCCGGTGGAGACTGTGAGGTGGGAAGGCATGGGGTGGGTGGTGGCTGGAGAACCAGGAAGTAGCTCTGTGACTGAAAGGGAGAATCCAGAGAGGACATGAGTGTGTGTGTGTGTGTGTGTGTGTGTGTGTGTGTGTGTGTGTGTGTGTGTGTGTGTGTTCATGCACACGGCTGTGTCTGAGAGAGACACGCTATCCCCCACTTCAGGGCCATGTGGGCCCTGAATGCAACTGCGTGGGCCGTGGGCAGCCCGGCCTGAGCAGCCCAGCATCAGGGCTTCCAGTCCTGCAGCGGGCCTCTCCTCTCACCAGTGGCAGCACAGCTTACCCCCAGCCCAGGGAGCAGCTGGTTGCAGCTCCCACGGTTGTCCTCTGGGAACAGGAACCAGGCCTGAGGCAAGTCTCATCGCTGCACCCACTCCAACCTCAAACCACCTCTTCTGAGAGGCAGAGGAGCCAGCCCCTCCACCCCCACCCCCAAAGCCTCCTACCCGGCACCTCCTGAGAAAGGGCTGCCCTGGCACATCAGCTTGGCCCCAGGCTCCGTGGCAGCTCAGAGCCCCAGCCCTGCTCTTCTCCCTCGTGGCCCTTGACCTCCCTCAACCCTAGCCCCAGGCCTCTGCGTGTCCAAGCCCCAAAGGGGAGGGGGTGGGGAAAGCAGAGGTATAGTCAAAGTGACAGGCCCATCGCCCTAATGCCCACGGGACTCTTCAGCTAACACAGCTCTGGCATCCTAAACACCACCAACCCATGAGTACATCATCTAACCCAGATCCTCAAAACTTGCCATCCCGTCCCTGGGTTTTCTGTTGGCACTTCTTTCACCATAAAAACTTCTCACTGCTTTACACTCAAGTTTATAAGTGCTGCTTGGGCTACTGGTAACTTCCAAGAGCACCAAACCGTAACTGTCTAAAGCCGAAACTCCCAGGACAGCACAGCAGTAAGAGAAGGCACAGCCAGGAGTCCCCACAGCCCTATTTGCTCAGAAAAGAAATGGCCCACACTCCATGAGCTTCGGCACTGACCCAGGCATCTCCCAGATGACAGTGACTAGGACAGCCAGCACCTCGACCACTCCTGCAGCCTGACTCAAGCTGCTCCCCTTTCCCCTCCTGCCTGACCTCTCTCCACCCCTAGTCCCCCATCCCAGCAGCCACCGCTCCCCCATCACCCATGATCTCCATCTGTAGGGAACCAAGTAGCACACTATCTCTCAAAACACACTAGGCTGGATGTGACAGCTCATGTCTGTAATCCCAGCGCTTTGGGAGGCCAAAGCAAGAGATCACTCGAGGCCAGGCATTCAAGAGCAGCAGCCTGGGCAACAGAGCAGGACGCTGTCTCTTTGAAAAAAAAAAATTGTTTTGATTAACTGTGTGAGGTGGCACGCTTCTGTAGTTCTGGCTACTCGGGGGACTGAGGTGGGAGGATCATTTGAGCCCTGGAGTTCGAGGTTATAGTGAGCCCTAATCACATTACTGCAC